TCCAGTGGCTGCTGTGCTCCCTGAACTCCTGGGCTCTGTAAACGCTGAGCTGCCCGAGCACTACCGGCTTCGGGCAGCCCCCATGCCTCTGGACCCTGCGCCCCCCGGAGCCCGGGAGGGGAAGTGCCCGGCCGGCGGCTCAGGGTTCGGAAGCATGGGGGCTGCCCGAACCCGGTAGTGCTCGGGCAGCTTGGCTTTAAACAGAGCAGAAGAGTCAAGGTAGGGAGCACAGCAGCCATGGGAGGGGAAGTGCCCGGCCGGCGGTATTTTTCCCGGACATGTTCGGCTTTTTGGTAATTCCCCCCAGATGGAGGTTTGATTACCAAAAAGCCGGACATGTCTGGGAAAAACCGGACGTGTGATAACCCTAGCTGTGGGATTTAACTAGCTGGCTAAAGAGGGCTGATTCCCTATTAACAACCCCCTCCCCCCCCCCGGTCCCCCTCACCACACACACACAAAACCAGGAAGCTGCAAGGTGAGGGAGAGGGACTGCAAAGCTCTCCAGGCAGCAGAGAAACCTGGGATCTTACAGCTGAAAGAACCACTGTTAGAGGAAGCTGAAAGCCAGTAAAGACAAGCAGGATGGGCTGGGAAGAAGCTGCACAACTAGCAAGGGAGAATCCTGGCCCCAGCTCCTGAGGATTGATCTTAGCAGACCCAAATAATATGGTTTTGGGACATTTAAGTTTTGTCTGGGCCCCAAGGTAAGAGCTTAACTTACTGTTCAAGTGCTCTTCTCAGAGTGCTTTATTAAATGGAGATGCAATGAAGTTAATTAGACTTTGGCTCCTTGACTGGGCTGTTAAAGTAACATCATTGTTACCTTATCAAAGGGAAAACGGAGGTAAGTTGCAGTAGAGCCATAACTGGCCAGAGAGTTTCTCCAAAATAGACATGTCAAACAAACATTTACAGGGTCCAACAAAACATTTTGTTCAACACCAAACTACTTTTTAAAAAACTTTTTGATTCAATTAAAACACTGAAAAATGTTTGTTTGGGGTTGACCTGAAACTAATCTTTTTTCCTGATTCTTTTTTTTTTTTTTGAACAGCCAGCAAACCAAAAAGCCAGTTATGTGCATAGCTTTATTCCTAACCCCATTCATTGTTAAGGCCATTTCATTGTGATAGCAGCCTAGTAAATCCCATGCTCTGGTGCTGGAATCCAGGTATCAGGAGAGAGTTAGTCTCTGGGGAAAGCAGCCAGCCCTCCTACGCTCTGGAAGCAACTGCCCAATGGAAAATAGGCTCTTTGGAGGCGACCTCTCACTGTAACAATTGTGGGGAGATGTTTTAGTCTGCTAAACTCATACATGGCTGCTTCAAGCTGGTTTTTCATTTTTGGGTGCACAGCTCCCATAATTGTTAAATACTGTAGTTTAACTAGTACAGTACTTTCCCCAGGCAGGATCAGGGCTTATTTTCCACACCGCTCTTTTCTAAGTGTAAGCGGGGG